CCCTGATCTTGACTGTGGCTGGGAGTGAGTTGGGCGGAGGGAAGGAGACTGCTAGCAAGCCAGGAGCTGAAGGAAAGGCCTTGGCACTCACTGGCTGGCATGGGGGTCACTGGTGCTAGCTGACAGCAGCTGCCCGGGTCTCACGGTCCTGCCCTCCTCTCTCTTGCAGCTGGTACAAAGATGGGGTGCTCCTTTCGCGCTCTGTTCCCGGCTTGGAGCTGCTGCCGAGCCAGGCCCTGCGTGTTCATGCTGCCGTGTTCAGCGAAGGGCAGTATACCTGCCTGGTCCGCCGTGCCAGCAGGGTCCTCCGTGCCAACTCTTGGCAGCTAAAGCTCAAGGCCAGGGGTTCTTCCCCACACAAACAGCCAGGCCAACCAGATGTGCAGGGAATTGCACGGGCCTGATCCACAGAGCAAGGGAGATCTGGGTAACGGTGGATGTGAGGACAGCATCCTCCTTGCTCATCACTTGGCATCTCCCCTACCTCTTCCTCACTCCCTCCCCCTCAAAGCAGGGCAGCCCAAACAGCAGAGGGGTCAATGCCAGGAGCGCTGCCTGCTCCTTTCCTTGGCCTACTCCTCGGGCTGGCAGAGCTGCTCTGTATTCCTAGCCCAGGGCAGCAATCTCCTTCTGGGGGAGAGGTGAGGGCGCGGTGGCTGCCTGCTCTTAACAGGTGATGCTTACCAGTTAAGGTTAACCAGAGGGGTGGGAGCAGCTCCCCACCTGCTGCAGGTGGTGGTGGGGTTCTCACTTTGGATAGAGCCTGCTTGAGCCAGAGCAGCCTCTGCTTGCGGTGGCCCCGGGTACCTCAAAGGCATGGGTTGCTCAGGTTAGGACACCTGCCTGTGAGGTGCCCTGGCCCAGGGTGGGCAGTGGGGACTGCTGCAGCTGAACTGGAGCGGTCTCCCCTGCCTTTTAATTGGTTAACAATATATTTAACTGACTAATGAATTAAATGGGATTTTACATCCCTATTCCTCACCACCTTCTCCATGCCTGTTGGTTTCATAAATGATTGTGAAATGCCTAGGACGTACTGAAAGAAATAAGGTACCTTAGGCTATGTCTAGACTATACCTCTTTCAAAATAAACTTTTCCGGAAGAGATCTTCAGAAAAAACTTCTGAAAGAGAGCGTCTACACAGCAAAAGCTTCAGAGGGGTAGCTGAGTTAGTCTGTAACAGGAAAAACTTAAACATCAAATAGTCTAGTAGCACCTTAAAGACTAACAAAACATGTAGATGGTATCATGAGCTTTTGTGGCCAAAAACCCACTTCATCTTTTGTAGATTTTGCCCATGAAAGGTCATGATACCATGTACATGTTTTGTTAGTCTTTAAGGTGCTACTAGACTATTTGATGTTTGTTTTACATAGCAAAAGCGCATCAAAAAAAGCCATCTGCTTTTTTGAAAGATAGCATCCGTTCAATATGGATGCTATCTCGTATTTAAGCTGTGATTACTATGGACGGAGTGGCCACTATGGCGCCTGTGTTTTTTCCTCTTCTTTCAAAAGAGCTCCCTCTTCCCTGTCCACACAGGCCTTTTTCTGAAAGAACTCTTTTGGAAAAAGTCTTCTTCCTTGTAGAAAGAGATTTACCAATGTAGGAAAAGCCTCTCTGTTCTTTTGATTTTTTTCCCCAAAAGAATGTGATTGCAGTGTGGATCTAAGGGAAGGTTTAAAAAAACCCAACAAAAACAACAAAAAACCACCAGCCATTTTTCTGAAAAAAACAAACAATCCTGTGCAGGGTGGACATACCATTAGATTCTTTCACAGTTATTTTTCTGCCTGCCTTTCCTGGCCCCTTTGACCCTGTTCAGATACCAGCTCCCAGCCATGCAGTCTCCCACGGAGGAGTCAACTCAGTGCCCATAGCATGGGGCTGCAGTATGGCCCCAGGCCTGATTTGCAACAGCAAGGGCTGCTCCTTCCCTCACACCACAGCAGCTGCTTGCCAGAGAGACAAAGCAGCCCCTACGGTGGTGTTTCTCATACTGGGGGAGGAGGGAGGGCTTGAGGCTGTCTTGGGGGAGTGTGGTATGGCCACACTTGAGTGGGTACTGCTGGTTGGGCAGGTGCTTCTGGCTGGGCACCCAGCTTGCAAGGCAGCGCCCGGCCAGCAGCAAGGGGGGGCATGGTACGGGGCAGGCCCATAGCACCGAGGGCCCCAGCAGCAAGGGGGGGGCATGGTACGGGGCAGGCCCATAGCACCGAGGGCCCCAGCAGCAAGGGGGGGGCATGGTACGGGGCAGGCCCATAGCACCGAGGGCCCCAGCAGCAAGGGGGGGGGGGGGG